TAACTGTGCATGTGACAAATAAATCTCTCTTATCTTATCTCTTATCAAACTAACTACTCAGAGTCTTCAGACCTCTCTTAAGACAATATTTATCTGTGATCAAGTCATACCAGGGATGCAGCTAACGCAAACGATCGAGGTGACATATTCAAATATCTTGTTTGGTTTCAGTCCAAAACCCAAAGATATTCAGTTTAATATCACACAAAGAAAAGAAAAGTAACTCAAACGAATCACTGATTATCACAATAGCTGCAAATTAATTGCCTGTCGATAATCAGTTTACATGGATGCCACTCATCAGCCACGAAACGAGTACAAAAAAAATTAAGTTTGCTGCTCTGGAAAGGGAGAATCTGTGAAAGTAAATGAGCATAAATGACCTGTTTGAACAGATCCGAGGGAGACCGCAGAGAGCTAATTCTCCATGATCACCAGCCCATCCTTTAATATATCTGATCCATCAAAGTGGAAAAGTGGTTGGGTTGGGCTCCCTCTGAGAGCAGGCCAAACACTTTGGCCGAAGCAGCCAGCGTTTGGTTTGGCTCTACCGTGCCGAGACTGGGCAGGTGGAATTTTCCACTGGCAGAGAGGAGGCAGGGGGTGAGGGGGGTGAGGGGGGTGAGGGGAGGTTAAAACCAGGGCATAGAGGGTGAGTAGAGTCACAGGTAGGGACACAATGAGGAGGGCTGGGTGAAACTGAAAGTAGCTTCAAATTCAGCGCACAAACACACTGACTCATCGCTGTGTCATCTCTCAGAAATCCCCAAACAAACAGCGGATCAGTGCACACCTCGCTGGTTCTGACGATGAGGCGGTACTGGTACTGGTCCTTCAGGTCTTTGGTGTCCTCCAGTTTCTCCCTGCGGATGCTCACGGCCACAGCGCCCATCTTTTCTTCTGTCCCGAAGTAGTTTGAGTGCTCTGGTGAAGGTAAAGGAGATATTAGTGTTAATGTTTGTGCTGTGGAGAAAATGTTCATTCATTCATGTCTGAACATTAACTGATACTAATTGACTATTGATTTTAAGCAAAAATACCTAAATTTACTGGTTTAACTTGCTGTTTTTTTCCAGTCTCCTCTGAAAGTGTGTTCTTATGTTTTGGCTTATTGGTTGAACAAAATGTAAATTTACATTGTTAAAGTAGTGAGGAACATTTTTCACTGTTTTATAGACAAAACTTGAATACAAAATAAACCTTTCATAGACCAAAGAATTATTATGGTGTTTAAACACAATCAGAACAAAAACCTTAACTAAATAAAATCCAGTCTTTAATTGGAAATATTATGGTTTAAATCCGTAAATATTTCACTAAAGAATAAATATTTGATCTGACACATTTTTGTCATTAATAAAAAGGTATCGAGGTTCGATACAAAACTCTAATACAGAGAGAAACCTACACAAAACCTTCAATAGACCAAGATGAGACCGGAGTCTGACAGTGGGAGAGAGAAAAGATACCAGGCACTGCATGTGTAGTAAGCAGGACTGACAGAGGAGGGGCATTAAGTCAAGGACAGGACCGACACAATGACATGTTATCTAGTAATCAATACTCACATAATTACAAAATCAATTTAGCTAACACAAGGCATAACCCAGAGAAAATGATACTGGTTACTAAGGAAAGGTTAAAGATTAAAGGGCTCAATAGTCGTATGCTGAAGGTTTTCTGATGCTGCGTGTAAGAACTTCTCTACAACAGGAGATGAAATACAACTAGACTCTATAAGACTGTAAAGGAACAAATGTGTCCTCAGACTTCCAGAAAATTAACAAAGATTGTGTCGTAAGTCGCCAATTAACATTCTTGTTACCAGTGCTGGCACCCAACATATTCACCCTTTAAGAGGCCGAGACAAAGTTATCAACACACTTCACAAGCATCTTGCATGTCCTCTTCTGAAGCTCCTAAGCTAAGCCGCGGTAATGCCAACGCCACAGGCAGCGTGGGAGTCGAAAGACAAATTCTCCAGACACTCGGGGAGGAATCTAGCTTGACAAGTATTCCTCCTCAATCCCCCGTCCAACTGGAATGAACCGGGACGACTAACACGTTGGGAGACTGAGGCCTGCTTAGCTTCCATGCCATGTCCTGTGGTGAAAATGTCATCTTTTTGATGAGGCTGTCTGACGTGCGCACAGGGCACATCTCAACACACACACACACACA